ATATATATATATATAGATTTTACAAACCAATGATTCATGTAGCAAATTTCTCTTTATATAACAAAAAAAGAACTCCATCACTAACACACCATGACTAACTACGCCATCACTCCTGCTGCTGCTAAAACTTAACAACATTAAAAACGTCATTTCCCATCCCCCAAATATCCGTCACAAAGTACAAATGGTATAGCAAAAGCTACGAAAATAATCTCAGTACCAAATACGCTGAAAAGGAAGCAGCCAGATTGTTAGGAAGCAGCCAGTGTTGGAAACTGTCCAACAGAATCATAATATATATAAGAGATTATAGGCTTAATGATAGTATTAGCTAACGGTTAGCAACAAGATGGCCGACTCACAAATTAATGTGTACTGAAGTGCAACAAGATGGCCGACTCACAAATTAATGTGTACCGAAGTGCAACAAGATGGCCGACTCACAAATTAATGTGTACCGAGAAGTGTTGAATAAATATTCTTATCAATAAACAAATTCAACGCGGAAAGCAAGGATAAGATTTTGTTAGTAAACACACACTGTAGAATCCGGAGATGGAGTCCACAAGTCGATCTGACGCTGATACCAATGTCATTCCGTCAACTTCTGCGATGCATTCAGTGCCAAGTTGTATTGACAATTGTAACTCACTTGGGTCCACTGGCTGCGTGGAGAGTGGGGATCTGCTGCATTGGGCAACAGCTGGTCTCCATAAAACCCCGCCCAGGGGCAAGTACCTGCACTGGTGGCGACACTTCACGACCATATTTGTTGGTTTGTTGTAAAGCAAGGGAGCAAAAGGAGCATGGCGCGAGCCAACATAGAAAGCAACGAATGGGAGATCATGGCGTAGAAACGTTCCAGCTGGCGAACAGCGGCGTATGAAGGAGGCGAACAGCGGCGTATGAAGGAGGCGAACAGCGGCGTATGAAGGAGGCGAACAGCGGCGTATGAAGGAGGCGAACAGCGGCGTATGAAGGAGGCGAACAGCGGCGTGTGAAGGAGGCGAACAGCGGCGTGTGAAGGAGGCGAACAGCTGCGTGTGAAGGAGGCGAAAAGCGGTGTATGAAGGAGGCGAACAGAGGCGTATGAAGGAGGCGAACAGCGGTGTATCAAGGAGGCGAACAGAGGCGTATGAAGAAGGCGAACAGTGGCGTATGAAGGAGGTGAACAGCGGTGTATGAAAGAGGCGAACAGCAGTGTATGAAGGAGGCAAACAGCGGCGTATGAAAGAGGCGAACAGCGGTATATGAAGGAGTCGAACAGCGGTGTATGAAGGAGGCGAACAGCGGTGGATGAAGGAGGCGAACAGACAGAAGAAGCGCAAAACAAGCGCGTCTGGTTGCGCCCATCTCTGTCTGGTGACGCCCTGCTCTGTCTGGTGAAGCCCTGCTCTGTCTGGTGACACCCTGCTCTGTCTGGTGAAGCCCTGCTCTGTCTGGTGACACCCTGCTCTGTCTGGTGACACCCTGTTCTGCTTACGCACTGCTACTGTATTGAACTACGCTCTGTTTTGACACTCAGTAAAATTTTCATTTTACAATCTTGTTTATCCCCCCCCCCCAAACCACCTTTAAGGGTGTCACCCTGGTGTTGTCCGCACCCCCTAGAGACGCCAGTGGCCTTGTACAAACAATTTAAGTAACGGCTCTCTATCAACTTTCTTTGTTTAAAAATTCATTTCGTAAACCACATAATTCCATATCCAGGCAAACCCTGTGGATTCACGGTTCTCATTATCAAAAGATGGAAATGGATTTGGAAAGGGGGGGGGGGGCATCCAGAACTATCCTCCATCCAATTTTCTAATTTGTAGAAACAGAAAACAGGATAATTACCAAAGTAATACATCTCATCACTTCTTAACTAATTGTCTCTTTATTTGGTGATACAATTACTTTGATGAGAGAGACGTCTCTAGACTAGCTCGGCTGTTCATTAAATAACTCGCACTGACATGCCTTGACAATATCAATGATTTTTTCGTTTTTAAAGAAATATTATTTTTACCCCCCAAGATTGGAAATGGCTGCTTAGCGGCTTTAAAAAAAAAAAATACTCTAATTTAAATCAGAAGTCTAAACCACCGCAGGCGAGAAACTACATCTCGCCTTGTTAGTATTGGCATTTTGGTTCACTGAAATGTTTGTTTAATTAAACCCGATTTGATGAGGGTGAATTTGATTTAATGGATGTGGTGAGACAGTAAATGGAGAGGGGGGGGGGGTGAAGTTATGGGGGACTGGGGGGGTGGTTGCCATCGGTGGCTGTTATTTTGGAAAAAGTATATTTATCACCTCTTCATTTTGGTTCACTGAAATGTTTGTTTAATTAAACCCGATTTGATGAGGGTGAATTTGATTTAATGGATGTGGTGAGACAGTAAATGGAGAGGGGGGGGGGGTGAAGTTATGGGGGACTGGGGTGGTGGTTGCCATCGGTGGCTGTTATTTTGGAAAAAGTATATTTATCACCTCTGCTGTTCAATTATTGATTTTTTTTTTTTAATTTTTTTTTTTTTTTTTTTTTTTTTTTTTTTTGGGGGGGGGGGGGGTCTGTACGCCTGCGTAGTAATTAAAAGCCGTAGTTGTTTGAAGATAAATAAAGTATTAAATTTGTTAAGAAATCCTGCGAATCTCTCATATATATTACGCTTCTGGTGTGACTCGTGGACTGCTTTCTAATTCATAGAATTTGGTATTGAGAGTATATAACAAATAATTATAAATGTTTGAAAGAGAGTATTGTTCAATAATGAGTTCAGTAGTGCGCAATACATAATTCCCGATAACTACGCTAAATGATTTTTTTTTGACGTTTGGCGCGTAATATTTTCTTTTTTGTAAAATGAAATCGTCTCAATTTAAATATGATGTAAAAAAAATGTTCAGTCTAAAAGTGGTTGGGACTTCAGAATATTTACTACAGATCATGGGCGTGAAATAAAAAGTGTGCACTGACGTATCATGGGGGAAGGGGTGTCGCAAACATTGGGATTCTTAAATGTGCGCTACTTGAGTTCATGTTTTGTCAAGTAACTTCAGTAGATGGCAAGTTCACGCATTGCTGTCGCCAATGTTTGACGGGCTCTATATCTAGTATTTCTATAACACATAATCCATCTGCATAGAAGTTGTAGTTAAAAGGCATTTTTTTTAGGTAAGGGTTAGAGAATAATATTGAAATCGCTCAGCTTTTAATCTCAAATTTAAAATTTGTTGCCGAGTAGACATTGAGTCATATATTGATGTATATCAATTTTAAATTCACCCCCTCCTTGTCAAAACTTTAAAAAAAACAACTTAAGTAGTACTTGATATCAAATTAAATATAAAAGAAAGCTGTCTCGGGTCAGAGTTCATTTGATCAAGTGTTCATGGAACACCACCACGCAGGCTTTCTCTGGCTTAAAAAAAAAAGTAATTTCTATTGTTTTACATCTAGCAAGCACGAAGGCTGTGGGTGTTGAATGAAATCCTGGACAGATAAAATTTGACGTACAACGGCATCAACATGTCAACAAATAATATAACAGCGATAGATGAACTTTTGGTGTATAATGATATCAACATGATATCCATACAAAAATATATATTGTATATATATATAAGATTTAAAAAAAAATATTTTAAGAAAGATCACATTTGATTTATTTAAAAATGACTTTGTTTTCTGACTGCTATATGAAATGACTTTGTTTTCTGACTGCTATATGAAATGACTTTGTTTTCTGACTGCTATATGAAATGACTTTGTTTTCTGACTGCTATATGAAATGACTTTGTTTTCTACTGACTGCTATATGAAATGACTTTGTTTTCTGACTGCTATATGAAATGACTTTGTTTTCTACTGACTGCTATATGAAAGGACTTTGTTTTCAACTGACTGCTATATGAAATGACTTTGTTTTCAACTGACTGCTATATGAAATGACTTTGTTTACTACTGACTGCTATATGAAATGACTTTGTTTACTACTGACTGCTTTATGAAATGACTTTGCCAATGTCATTCTAAAGTGCTGCTGGATATTATGCTAAAAAGGTTTAGAGCAAATAAGCTTTCTTGTAAGCCCCAAAACAGTTTCAATAAAACACCTTCAATAAAACACCTTTAATAAAACACCTTTAATAAAACACCTTTAATAAAACACCTTTAATAAAACAGCTACACATTACAGAAACATGATGAAGACATGAAAGGATTGGAAAATAAAGCTTTTGTGACGTAATATGTATATAATATATATATATATTACTTTTTGGAATTTCATCATTTAAAGATATAACCAGAATTCATACAACATGATCTCCATATGATGACTGTGACCTCTACCTACCAATAACATTCCAATAGACGGGAACCTCTGCATACGATACCATAACAAAGGTCGGAAACCTGCGCCTATAATATAACAACAGTCGACAACCTCTTGCTACTAAAATAAAACAACCGACGGCAACCTCTGCCTAGCACACCATAACAACAGGAACCTCTGCCTAGCACACCATAACAACAGGAACCTCTGCCTAGCACACCATAACAACAGGAACCTCTGCCTAGCACACCATAACAACAGGAACCCCTGCCTGCCATACCGTAACATTCCCGAAAGGCCCACTGACAAACATGGAGAATACATTAACTCTGAGCCCCACCCCCACACCACGTAGCATAGCAGGGAGCGGTGGCGCTGCTAGTCTCAACGTAAGCAGACCCTCAAGGGCTGCAACCGCTGCCCTCGCAGACATCTTAGTCAGTGACTACGCCTACTACCTCGTGTCGTACGTCATCTTACGCTGCGGCGTACAGGTGGTGCTCAGGTTCGCCGGAACCTGCGCCAACATCATCAACGTCGTTGTCTTCACCAGGTCCGGCCCGCTGGACAGCGTCACGTCCGGATTTCTCGCGCTGGCGTTCGTCGACCTGGGCTATTTAATCGTTCACCTGATTCCGATAACGCTGGGGGTTCTAGAGAAAGACTTCCTCGTGGAGTCTTCCGTGGATTTGAGCAGCTTGTCTTTCGTCGTGTCCATGTACCCGCTGATGTTCGGCGACATGTCCTTCGTCATCACCACCTACCTGGCCGTCCAGAAAGCGTGCTGCGTGGTCATCCCGTTCCGTTTCAAACACGTGTTCACAAGAAAACGATCAATCGCCACTGTCCTTATCATCGTCGTCATCGTCTTCGTCTACTACTCGCCTATCTTCGTCACGATGATCCGGGACATGCGACCCTTGCTCTCAACCCAGACGAACAGGACGAAGCTTGTTTTAGTGCTCTCCCCTTCCGGAAGAGATCTTCTGCGCATGTTCCGCGTGGTCAACAAAACCACGCTGCCCCTTGTGACGCAATCCATCGTCCTGATCTGCCTGGTCTTGTTAACAATTCACCTCAAGAAATCTGCCCACTTCCGGAAGTCGTTCAACTCCAAATCTTCCTCCGCGAAAAATGGCGGAGAACTCGACAAACACGACGTCAAGGGCTTGCGCGCCATCCAGTCCGTTACAGCCGTGGCGGCCATCTTTGTAGCCTCGAACTTCCCGGACATATGCATAAATGTCGCCAGCCTCCAGGTACCGGAGTTCAACGACCGGCGTTATTTCCACAACCTCTACTGGGTCGTGGAGGACTGCAGCAACATCATGCCGATAGTGAACTCTTCCATCCACATCCTCGTGTACCTCAGATTCAACTCAAGCTACCGGAAGCAGTTTCGACAGATTTTTTCACGGCGACTGACTTAAACCTTGGATTCGGCCTGTTGCTTTGGGTGGGGGGGCGTCATCAAAGCTCATGGCGTAACGGCTCGTGAATCATGATTGATAAAAAGAAAGTTAACAATTCAATTCGCACCTTGATGCGCACAGAAAATCGGCGCAACTAACATCCGGCCGATAGTGAACTCTTCCATCCACATCCTCGTGTACCTCAGATTCAACTCAAGCTACCGGAAGCAGTTTCGACAGATTTTTTCACGGCGACTGACTTAAACCTGGGATTCGGCCTGTTGCTTTGGGGGGGGGGCGTCATCAAAGCTCATGGCGTAACGGCTCGTGAATCATGATTGATAAAAAGAAAGTTAACAATTCAATTCGCACCTTGATGCGCACAGAAAATCGGCGCAACCGAAATCTTTGATGAGATGAGGTTTGACCACACAAAAAACACCAAAAAAAAACGATTATCCTGCGTCTGCGATCTTTGTGTTTGGTATATTGGAATAACCCTGTCAAGGAAAGAACACATCTATATTTAGGAATTCTAGTAATGGTGGAAACAATGTAAAGGAGACACACAAAAGAGTGCTCCAAAGTCAAGATAGAAACAGCTTCTCGGCATGGCCTCACCGTGATCTTACAAGCCAGAATAAATCTTGAAACAAATAATAATTGTTTTAAAAAAAATGTAAAAAAAAAAAAGGTTTGTCTTGTTGTATTTGTTCTATTTTTATTTGTTAATGGAAGATTTGTTCAAACAGAACAAGAACTATTTTGAAATTCTTTCAGGAAATTATTTTGCTGCATATTTTGGTTTGACGCAATCATCTTCAAATAAATTACTGATTGTTTGGACATACAATCCTTTTTTTTTTTGTCTGGATACTGGGGCTGTTAATGTTGATGTCCATGTAGATGTGCATGTAGATGTCCATGTAGTTGTCCATGTAGATGTCTATGTAGTTGTCCATGTAGTTGTTCATGTAGATGTCCATGTAGTTGTCCGTGATGTTGTTGTCCATGTAGTTGTCCATGCAGTTGTCCATGTAGCTGTCCATTTAGTTGTCCATGTAGTTGTCTATGTAGTTGTCCATGTAGTTGTCCATGTAGTTGTCCATGTAGTTGTCCATGTAGCTGTCCATTTAGTTGTCCATGTAGTTGTCCATGTAGTTGTCCATGTAGTTGTCCATGTAGTAGTCCATGTAGCTGTCCATCTAGTTGTCCATGTAGTTATCCATGTAGTTGTCCGTGATGTTGTTGTCCATCTAGTTGTCCATATTGATATCCATGTTGTTGTTGTCCATGTAATTGTCCACATTGACGTGGGTTTTGGTCTGGCTGTCCGACTTTGCCCCATTTAAAAAAAAGAAGACTCCGGACTTCTCCACAACACATTGGCAAAACTGGTAGCACGTAGCCAATAGCCTTAAACACGATGGATTGTAGCTATGTAGTTAGTTGATGTCGCTCACTCTTAAACTCTTGCTGAGCTTGCTCTGCTTTCAAAAGTCCAATCGAATTACAGATCGAATCACACCAATCCCTTCATCACTGAATTCGTTCAAGTCAAGAGATCGATCTGTATGTTTACCACACTTTGATATTATATTTTAATCTCTTCTTGTTGTCTGAGCGAAATGATTTTGCAAATAGTTATTACAATGAAGAAAGCCAGAAAGAAGTTGTGGGGGGGGGGGGGGGGAGGCGCTATGGATACCCTTGGGGCGAAACGATTGTAACCACCAGAAAAAGGTTTGAGAACATCTGGTCTAAACAAATAGTTGTTTCTTTTCTATACGTATTCTTTAAAAGGTGGGTACAATATGTTTCATAATTGAGCCTTCTTATATATATATATATATATCTACAAGGCTAATAAAAACCAGACATTGAAGGCTAATTTTCCACACAATTTTACATTTCTGTATTTCCCGTAGACCGGAAGACCAGAATTTAAAAAAAAAATGGTGTTGATTGTTCTCTAAGTGGGTCAAGTTATTTGTTTATCTCAGTGTGCATTTATGACGGACCAAGTGCAACCGGGTTACCATTAATACCAAGTCTTCAACGGACTACATAATTATAATGTACCAGTACTGTCAGACTGATGGTGCAGTCCCCCCCCCCTTTATGATAACACGTGAGGATGATCCTCATTGTTGCCATTAAAAGGATGATGATGATTATTCAGATGTGTTATCAAGTTAACCGGGTGAAGGCCAGGTGCAAAGAGCTGGACCCTTTGGTCTTACACAAAGCCACTGGTCATACAGGGACGGTGGCAGGGCCGTGCGATATGGCGGAGTGGTGAAGGTGGGGGGGGCGGGGGCACCAGCGCCATCTTCAAGTGGTCGCTAAAATTGTCATTGTGTGTTAATGAAACAAATATAAAAGAGTGCCAATGTTGAGGGCGTTGTGTGGCGCAGCTTTCACCCGCCACGGTCCCAGACATCAGTTCAGAATTTGCCAGCTACACTATAAATTAAGTTGAGAACCCTCTCCTCTCAGCAGACACGTGACGCTGTCTTGATGTCGTCTGTCTCAAACGTCTGGCGTGAACTCTCCCTTGTCAAATTTGACGTGTCCTTAATATTTATTGTAAATGTTTATTACATAACCTCAGACTTGGTGTCTCCCTGCCTCCCAAGCTCCCATGTTTCCTACACTTTCATCCTGGTGTCTCCCTGCCTCCAAAGCTATCGTGACACCCACACTGTCCAGCTGGTGTCTCCCTGCCTCTCAAGCTATCATGTCTCCCACACTGTCCACCTGGTGTCACCCTGCCTCCCAAGCTAGCATGTCTCCCACACTGTCCACCTGGTGTCTCCCTGCCTCCCACGCTATCATGTCTCCCACACTGTCCACCTAAGCCTCCCAAGCTATGATGTCATCCCTGTACCATAAACGCTGCAGATGTCAGGTTAACAACTCCCTCCCCTATTGTACTTTCGACCAGTTCCCACACCCATCGTCTCCCTTTTTCAGCCCTGTTCCTTTGTGACATACAAATAAAAATGCTATTAACTTGTATGTACACTATTTATATTCACAGCAACAAAGAATAAATATTGCTTTTTTTGAAGTATTAATTTATTCTTTTCCGGAGGGGGTGTGGGGGGATGGTATGTGACCCATCTTGACCCATTTTCCCCATCTTGGCCCATCTTGGCCCATCTTGACCCATCTTGGCCCATCTTGGCCCATCTTGACCCATCTTGGCCCATCATGGCCCATATTGGCTCATCTTGACCCATCTTGTCCCATCTTGACCCATCTTGGCCCATCTTGGCCCATCTTGGCCCATCTTGACCCATCTTGTCCCATCTTGGCCCATCTTCGCCCATCTTGACCCATCTTGGCCCATAATGTGGACACCCATAAACCTAAGCGATGTTCATATAAAGCAAAAGGCGAAAAAAAAAATTCGTTGATTTTTGTAGTGACAAGACACTGACAAGACACTGACAAGACACTGACACGACACTCACAATGTCTTATTCCTTTTTTTTTCTTTTGGTTCTTATGAACACGTCACAGATTGTCGTAGGGAACAAGGTTAACATTACACCAAGTTGTACATTTAAAGAAATGTAGTTTAAAAAAAAATCACATCCCCAACTAGCCCCACCCCCACGTCCACCCCAACCCCACCTCAACCCCCGCCCCCATCTCCACCCCACCCCACCTCCACCTCCACCCCAACCCCACCTCAACTCCGGCCCCCATCTCCACCCCCACCTCCACCTCTACACCCACCCCACTGCCACCCCCAACTCCACCCCCACCCCACCTCCACCCCCACATCAAACTCCACCCCCACACCCACCTCCACCCCCACCTCAAACCTCCAACTCCACCCCACCCCACCTCCAAATTCATTTTCACCCCCACCTCCACCCACACCGCCATCCCCACCTCCTCCTCCTACCCCACTTCACATCCACCCCCAGCTCCACAACATCTCCATCCCCAGCTCCACAACATCTCCACC